CTGCAGCTCGTCAATGGCAGTTTCATCAGCCAAGATGATGTTGAGGACGGGACTTCTGGAGCAATTCCGGGCAGTTCCGTCCATGGTACTTTAATACACGTAGCGTAGACGAGTGATTAGTGTTACACAGAAGTCGAGGAAGACCAGGAAAGGTCTGACAAGTGCACAGATACAGGACGATTATTAGAACTATAGATATAGGGGTACTGCGCCTGGAGCCAAAGCAGGAAGCCATTCTGGGCAGGGATGGCTTGTCTTCGTGGAAGCGACAGGGTGGGAACGCCTGTATTTATAGCTGGACGCTGCATAACTGCCCTAGGGCGGTTGGGACAGACTATGAAACAATCAATCATTATCAATCAATCAATGGGCAATATTCATATTCGTATTCACATTATTGACACCCGGCTCGGAGCATAGTTGATCCGTTCCGACAATCAACGACAACATGGATTCTTGACCTCTTCTAACCTTAGAGATCTTCGGATATACCCAGGGAAGCTTGCGTCGTGCTCCGCTGCCACACTCCAATCTGTTTACTATCTATTGTCCATCATTTGACGCAATAAAGAGGTGCCGAAGCTCAGTGCAGAGGTTCGATGGGAAAGCCCGCCTGAAAATGTGGTATTTCTACTCAACCTTAATCGACTTCCCGCATTAAATCAATAAACGCGGCGTCGAGGACACATGATGCGCTCACAACGGCCCAGAATCCGTACATATGCTGTACGGAGGGAAATGCGCGTAATGCACCCTCCAAACACGCTCTGAGTGAGTCGAAATTTCACGGTACACGAAATTGTTTTTTTTTCAAGTCCGTTCTAGCTTAGGTGTGGCGCGGTTTTTTTTTGACAATGCGGACTCTTAATGCCGGATGAACTTGATCTTCTCATGTCTCTACATGCGGAACAAGCAGCTCGCATCGGAAGACATGGCTGTCGCCCCTGGAGAGTCTCGCGTGACGCGTAATCTACCTCGCAAAGACTACCTTGCGCTCAACAACGGGCTCGACACGTTGATTTTGCCCTCCTCACCGGACCTTGAACAAAGCGTTGTCTCAGGCACCACAGGATGCGATGACTGCGAAGGACCGCTGCCATCCGAGTCGGTCTCACAAGTGTCCAGTGGCCACTCAACAGTCGTCACTTCGGATTCTGAGGAACGTCACCTGTCGGTTGGCCCGACTGTGGACGAGTCCGCGGCGAAGAGGCGAAAAGTTCACACCAGCTGAACTCAAGACCATTTCTGGGTCACCGAGCTTGACACGCAGTGGAACAAAAGAGGCCGACTGCCACAGAATGATCGCCTGCTCGTCTGTAAGCGGTGTAGCTGGTCGTCCTCCGACTCGTCTCGCCACGGCACGACCTCCAATCTGCTCACTCACCTTCGGACGCGCCACCGTATTGGGCCGTGGTCAGAATCGAAAGCAGGCCCGGCTCGCGGCCCTTTAGACCGGATGCTGTCTCCTCAGCAAGAGCGCAAGGGCCTGGAACATGCACTGGTCCGGTGGATCGTCCAGACAAGACAGCCTTTCACCGCGGTCGAACACTCGAGCTTCCAAGGGATTTTTGATTCTGTCGGGATCGAGGTGCCTCTGAAATGTGCGGACACTCTCCGCGATCGTGTCAGGAATGAGTTTGAAGAATATCGGAAGAGCTTGAGGCTGCAGCTGGCCCAAACCTGTGACAGTATTGCCATCGCCCCAAGTCCCGTCGGTCGCGTCCACGGTCCAACTATACACCGGCGCAGACGAGTGTTTATTGATAAACAGAAACACAGGAGGACCGGGAAGGGTCCGACACGTAGAACGGATACAGAACAGATATTAGGATTGTTAGTAGGGGTATCCTACTCATAGTCGAACGCTGCATAGCTGCCACTCAATCGGCGGCTGGGACAGTCTATGATGTAAAAAAAAAAATCAATCATCAATCTCTTTGTGTTACAGTATTTGTAGTACTGTAATAGTGAAGATGTACCCGAAGCATCCTCACCATGTGGCCGACGTGCTAAGGCTATATCCTTAAGACTGTATAGTAAGTCGCTTGGTATGAATTGCACACAAATTCGTGTCTTCAAACAATAACACCATATAATCTTCAGCGGATTCTTAAAGGGCTTCCAGAGCCGAGGATTAAAACTTAGATCTGATTTCAAACCCTGGGCGATGTCCGGTAGTAGGTACAGATTTCCGTGCTTTCGCCGTAAGCTTTTGTGCTGCTCCGTTATGGAGGTTCTTTCGAGGTTGTTGGGCCGCTTGTAGTACTGTGATAAGGGGCCTTTAATATAAGTTATGAGACAAAAATAAGTTGCGCTTATACTTACTGTTTGCTTTATACGAGCTATAATTTAGTTTCGAGAACAGATAAGAAGTAGGAAAGAGAAAGGAAAATTTAAGTGATACCTCCCAGCCGAGGAGGGGCTAGCTTATAGCGAGTTGAAAGGCGGACCCTAAGTCTTGGTCACCATAATAGTAAGAGCTGATCGCTTTCCGACGAGAATACTAATTTAAGGGCCTGGAGAAATCAACCCAGGATTGCTATTGGACTTGGCTTTCATATTAATGTCCTGGTGATCGAGCTTCTTCGGTATAATGGCCACGACTGGGGTTATAGCCTGCATCTACTGCTCTAATAGCAGGAGACTGACATATAGTGGATAGCTTTCGTCTCGCGGCGAAGAGGGTGTGATGCGAAAACGCGACAGCTTTGGGCCTAGCTGCGTTCCTAACCCCGACATAGCCTTTTTCTGGCGCTTCTACGAATGCATTATGGAAAGCTCGATTCGATGCCTCTCGTTGCACTTGCCCTTTCGCGGGCTCATGGGCTTCTCCGGGAGGGGAGACTCTGTTGAAGATTTGGTCCAGATACCTTCCGATGTGGGAGATGACAAGGAGAAGGATTAGTCATTTCTTGGTCATCATTGTAAATACGTTCCAGCCTGCGGAATCTCCCTCTGAGAGCGTGTATATATATGTGCAGCATGGGAGCCATGTTTGTGAAGATGTGAATAACGAATTAATGGAAATCATCTCGAGCCTGAGCATAATCTCATATCCTCAACAGACTCCTCAATCTGTGCGCGAGCGAGATAATAGAGGAGACGTTGATTTCCGGCCCGGTCCCCTATACAACCCACCGCGGACGCCATGGCCAATAACCCCGGATGACATTCCTGCTCTTTGCAAAAAATGAAATATCGAGGCAGGATAGGCCTTCACTCTACATCAAGCATTGCTGCATCTTGATCGTGACTGAGGGGTGACTGAGCCTTTAACACATTCATATGTGCGACGTTCTGTAACACCGACGCAAACTGCTTCGAAACAATATCATAGGTAATGTAGCGATTCAGCTATAACAAGGTTAGAAGCCAGCTTCTTAGAGATCAGGCGAATTGTGCTTACCGATGCTAGTCTCACGCCAAGCCAAAGACTTATTTCGGCACGGGTGCTGCATGACTTGGGAAGTTCTAGAGTATGTTCGTCCTCATTCACTACCTGCCCCATAAAGAAATCGTGAGTGAAGTAGTAGGATGTGTACTTAAGCCCTCTCAATAGGAAGTCTTCAGGACGTACAATATAGACTTCGCTCTGGCAATGGTTTGAAGAGGGACCAAATCTAGAACACTGGGTCACTGGTCCCCGGCCCTCGATCCCTTTCGTTTTCCTTTTTCGCACTCGACTGTCTATTCTCCTCGTTTCGACTTCCCCGGCAAGAACTACTGACATCCAACTTCGCGGGGGCAAGCTTCTCTGATCGCACGGATCTAATCCAAGTGTACGCCATTGCTACGGGCGGCGTCTTCAGTGTATTCCTGATCCTCAACACCTGGCCTTGGATTACCCGCTTCATCCGCTATCTGTATCCGCTGACGTCCAAGTATGGTCTACAGCTACATTCTTCATCGACATCGGCTCCTAGGCCCGCGGAGTCTAGCCGGTGTCTTCCTGCAGCTGTATGTCGCAAGGAATATCGTGTGCTTCAGCGTCGGAAACCCCCATGTCCAAACGCAGATGTCTACCCTGTCACAAGCCGGCCTTCGAGGACCTCAGCTCCTCGGGTGGTGGGAATCTCATCTCGGGAATCGGCTGTGCGAGCGGGCATTTTAGAGACCGAGGAGAGGGAGGTTAAAGGATCGAGGTGGAGTTGGACTGGGCTCGCTCATTGACTATGCACGTAGCTGCAGTCTGGTTGGCGGAGGCCGACTGATTGGTGGTTGGTAGAGATGCCCAACCCGTCACGCAATAAGGGAAAAGTCTGTGACGAGGGGTAGCTATGGGCGTCCAGGATCGAGGAGGGATTCGGTGAGGGGCGGTGGGTGTAGTGTGGGTGACTTCAGGACAGACGCAAAGTACAGTGAATGCAAAATGAGATCTAAGACATCAAACAAACAAGGCGATTTGAGGATGAAAGGTAGGTACTATGAGAAAGGCACAAGGCGCGAGACTGGCTTGGCTGAGGGTTGTGTTGTCTTGCCGGTATCAATTAAGGCTCGATCCGCGCTTAACGGAGACAGGGACACTGTAGGGAGGGCGGAGCTCCCTAGCGAAAGCCTCTACTTGGCTCGTCGGGTACGTAGCATGGGCACCTTGGCCCTGAACATTACCTTGTTAGTGCCATAGTGCTTAGGATCGTCGCCGTGCTCGCCCCTCACAAGCTCTAGACGCGTCGTAGCTCCTGGGACGGCCCCCGCGCACGCGACCCTACGGGGTCGTTCTCTAGCCGGCCAACATGGTGATTTCTTGCAAAGTGTTTCGACGGTCCTTGTCCGATGATTGACCGCGATTTGAACATGGTTGTTTGAATTGACGTCTCTCTACTGATACATTATATGGGCGTGTTTCCCCCACGGACATCAATCCAACTGACGGTCGCCATGTGGCAGCGCATCTTAAAGACGACAATTCAGTCCACGCCAGCCAGCACACGCTTGACGCCTGACGCCTGCCACCTGTCGACGACCCATTCTCTCTTGTCTGTCCCCCAGGACTACAATTTCTATCCCAGCATGCGCTCCATGAGGCTAAATTTGGCCACCAACGAGTGCCACATCGAGCCCATCCCTGCTCCCATGATCGCCTTGATCGCGTAGCGACGAGTGAAGCTCAAGGAACAACTCACCCAGACATATCCGACCGCTCTAGTTCTCCCTGTCGAGAGTTAATATGGCAACGAACGCGGGAGTGGGGAAAGATAAACCATACATGTGTCTTTCAGCCCGAATCTCTTGCCTAGGTAGATGGTAGAGTCTTCAATCGTGATAGCGACTGGCTGTACCACGAAGAAGTAGGACTGATTCATGGATAGAAGTGAGCACGGCATGTTTAGAGCGCCAACGCGATGAATCAACGCTGACGCAAAGAATGCGTTGTAGAGCTGCGCATAGCGAGAGACCAATGTCCCTTTTGCACTCTTGACTGCCGAGTGAGCTGCGGTCTCAAACGTCGACGGAGAAATTGATGCCTTAGGCAGCCGTTTAGAGAGCTAGCCCTCCGACCGAACAGTCATAAACTCACCAGCAGTATCCCCGGATATTCCTCATGTGTACCCTTTCCGGAGGAAGGAGGCAAACATTGGAAGCCACGATTGAGGGCGAGAGATTCCCGCGCCAACAACAATGGCGGCGAGTAAGTAATGGCCGAAAGCAACACAAAGCGACTGTTCCGGTCAGGCACCTCCGCCGTTAAAGTTAAAGAGAAGAACCGTGTCCGGAACTCTCCTGCGCGAGATGTCGCGGGGACACCTTCCACGTTCTTAACTCGCCATTTGCATCCAATGCCACGCATCGTGACAAACAAGTCAAAGTTTCATCGAAGTTTCTCCAAAAAAGACATGTCTTGGATCTCCTGTACCGTTTCTATACCTATCATCCGGTCTCGTCCGCCGACAAGGTTGTTCAGGAGTTTGCAGCACGCAGAAGTCGACGAGTTAAACACAGTCAGGTGACGTTGGTGGTCGACAGGTAGTCTTTCGCAGGCTTGCCAGTCATGTGTTGTCTCAGGTCGTAAAGTATCCCCTGTAAGGGTGGGATGGCGACGAAGCTGCGCACCTGGCTTGGGGAAGCACGAGTGTAGCCATTCCGACGAGACTGGCACCCATGATTTTCGGGCCGTACGAGTGCACGGGGCGATCGGGAGGAAACCATTTTGGATCCATGGAGTCTGAAGCTTGACAGCATTAAGGGCAAAGATAGCAGGGCAAATGCAATATTTTGAGGAACAATAAATGCGCTGTGAGTGTCATCGGCGATACGAGGAGTCCCTCAGCCGCAAGGCTACAGCGGCTTCACCCACGCCCGCATTACTAGAGGGAGAAACCAGAGGAGGACATTGAAAACTTGCACTGTACTGTACTGTGCTTTAGTGTTTGGTACTTCCATTTCTAGTGTCGAAAGTAAGGACTCCTGTTGCTTCATTTTCCTCCGAAGCGACGGTAACATCGTCCCATCTACAGGGGTCTCGACCTTGGATTGGCTCCCGAAAGGGTATTTGTCTTGACTGAGCAGCAGAAGTGAGGTCAAATAGTATCAAATTTTGCCAAGGAACATTGACAGAATATAATGTGAGAACCATGTGAGAGGCATGCTCAAATATAGCCCGATGTCTGACCACCAGGATTCCCCTCCCCTGCCCGCACTTCCACTCTGCCACCCTCGAGATCAGTCTTGGAAGGGTATTTTAGATTTATTCGCAGCCTCTCCGAGATGATTCCCGCCTTTTCTTCCCACAATGCACTCGAATGTGTTGGGAAGCATCCAGCCACCTTCAGTCCAGAGAAATGTCACTGAGATGGAGACGTTCATAGATATTCCAGCGAGCCCAGACGACACGCAACTAGCAAAAGAACAGTCAGACATCGTAAGCCACAAGCCCCAGTTATGTGATGGCACTCACCCTCTTCCCATATATGTACATGGGGATGGTACTCAGCAAGCTGACGCCGACGATTGCCGTGACAATGGCATATATATCTCGGGGGCTCATGGCGGCTATCCACTTGTTCATTATCTTGGACTGCATGAAATACAACATGTTCTTGCACGTGGCCGCAAGGATAAAGATTTCGGTCGTCATCCCCCGGTAGGCGTCGATGATGTATGACCCGGCGCCAATGGAAGCCAAGGAGATGGCCATGCCGACCAGAGCATAACAAGCCGCGGCCGATGTGGGGTTACCATAAGTGAACGAAAACCCGAGCCCGAGAAAGCCCGCGATGCCGAAGATCAGGGCAAAGACCATGATCCAGAGGCGCATCTCGGGCTCGTAGACACCCTTGTTCCACCGTGCGAGGCTGACCATGGCGCGATCGTACAAGAAGGTCGACAGGAGACAGACGATGGTGCCCCCGATCACGGACCCGGAGTACAGGTAGCCGATGTGCTTCGAGTCCAGCGAGTACGGCGGTGGTCCGTACACTTGGGGCCACACGAAGCCACAGCCGACCCAGAATGAGACGATGATCCCCGCGACGAAGATGGAGTAGATGGTCGCTGGGTTGAGGCCGCAGGCAAACACCACGAAGAACAGCTTGACCGGGTTGGTCCTGTCAAAGGTGCCGTTCCAGATCCGAAGGTGTTGCCACCAAGTTTTCTTCCTGTAGATGGTGGAGATTTGGCCCGTTCCAACGGAGACCGGATCTGGGTCTCCACGACCGGTCGGGGGAGATTTCGGGGCGCTTTCGACGTGGGCTTCTTCCTTATTGTTGGCCTGCTTTTCCTCGACGGTGGCAGGGGTGTCAATGTTTCGCTCGCCGTCCAGGTCGATGTCGAAGATGGCGGCCCGTTTGTACGATGTCTCCCGGATGAAGAGAAAAGCCATGAGAAACTGGATCGAGATGAAAATCATGTAATACTTAAACGGCCAGAGCCATCCTTGGTTGGTGGTGATGACGCCCGAGATGATTGGAGGTAGAAGAGCCACTGAGGCTTGCACGATATTGAATACTGTGGACAATGCACAGAGAATATCAGCCTTCGTCTCCACCGGATCTCAGTCTAACTCTCAGCACTCACCAGCCACGCGGATGCCCCGTTCATGGACAAAGTACATGTCTCCAATGACATTGAAGATGATGCTCTCGTAGGCGGCTGCGCCAATGCCCTGGAAGATTCTTCCAATCAGGAATACGTCGTAATTTGTTCCGGTGGTCAAGCAGATGATGGTGCCAATGATGGCCAGGAATGAGGCGAGGAGGAATTGCGGCCGTTTGCCATACTTCTTGGATAGGACGGCAACAAAAGGCCTAGTACTGTTTGTCAGTCATTTTCTCTGCCCCTGCACACTCAGCCTTGCGATGTTGGGGTTTGGCCTCAACTTACGCCCCGGACCCGATTGCAAGCAGCACATATCCCGCCAGAGCGGCAATGTCGGTGAGAGAGCGATCGAAAATCGTCGTGAGTTGATAGATAGCGGCCTTGATCAAACCGTTAGGCACGTTGACCAGCATGGAAGCGCCGATGCAAATGTTGAGAAATATCCAATCTTTGCGCCAGTGGCCCCAGTTCAGGGGATCGTTGGGATCATCGGAAGGCTGTGGCACCAAGATGATATGCGCCGACTTGCCTGTGCCGTGCTTGAGACGCACAGACACGTGGGCATCGTGTGACTCTTGATCTCTCTCATTCTCTACCAGGTACACCGTGCCTGGGGCGCGTTCATCAGCGGCATCGAGGATGCCAAAGCCCATTATGGCAGTTGCTTTTCTTCTCAGGGTAGTCGGTACGGTATATTGTTCCTCCGGTCTTGGTCAAATGGGTCATAACCCCTTCTTTCAACCTGGCATGGGAAACAAAATGACAGCATCAACCGAACTTCATTCAGAGTTTTCAATGGACTCGAAAATGATTACAGTGGAGTGTCGATTCTGTCAGCATGGACCAAATGCAAGGAATTCTCGAGCGGACTGCTGGAGGACCTTACAGTGGTTTTCTCGTGTCCGAATGTGGGGAAGTCCAATTCTTTACAGTGGGTGCTCCCCCCACTTGAGAGTGACTTCTAGGAGTGGCGATGTCCCACACCTATGGCGGAGCAGCCAGTATAGAGGCTTTCCAGCTCTCGTATACCCTCGACAGGCGACAAGACTATTCTACAAAATCAATTGAATGGTGTATACAGCGCGCCTCCCGGGAGGATTTCGACATGGCTGATATCATGCGGCGGTTCTTGAAGGCGCTGGTTCAACACGATCCAAGTGACCTTCCTCTGGCCCCAGACGTCAGGGCCACAGAGAACGAAATCCCCATGGAAATTGGGACGATCGGGCTATGGACAAAGGCCACCGCAGTTGACGACAATTACCAGTTCGTCTTCGAAGATCGGACATATGAAGCTGCTTTCCACACTCTCCACGCCGGCTTTGTCGGCCTGGTCTGGCGCGGAAAAGAGGCGTCACTGTGCTCGATACGTCTCAAGGTCATGGCAGGCCGCATCAGTGAGATCGACCTGATACAGGGGGGCAAGTTTCGAGGCAGCACGGCCAGCGACCCTCGAGACAGCTGCAAAACCTTTCGCGAGAACTTTGCCCGAAAGTTGAAGGAGCCAAAATTCACTCGCGACCAACTGATCAGAATTGCCCTGCTCTACTACGAGAGCATCGGCAGTGACCATCCGTGCTATGTGCCCTTTGGCGAGGAATTCAGAAGGATCGAAAACGGGACATCCGCCCTCCTCAATCCCAACTTCCACCAAGAAGAGTGGTACGTGAACGACAGCGGCGGCTTGGTGCCCAATTTTGCGGCCATGAGCGCCCGAGAGCAGCACGCCACGCAAATCTGGTCGGCTGATCTCGTCACAGACAAAAGGGTGCATGTAGTGGATGTGGAGCGAGGCCTGGTCTGGGTTCACTCGATCTATCGTCCCTGGTATCGCAGGGACAGCGTCCAGATTGAAGGAGTCGGAATTCTGCGACCAGATCCGAAGATCATGCATCATGGAGTCGCCACCATGACCGAGCTGATCAAAATTGGGGACACCGGGAACTTGGAAGATATGGAGTCGGTTTGGATAATCATGCCTAAGGGCACAGGGACCATCTGGGCTTGAAAGCGGAGATCCTGAGGCTTGCGTCATATAGGTAGCTGGAGAGGTGTATATAATAAGTTCAGTTTAAGCTATCGGTGACGAGAGTCGGAACATTACTTTACTCGACGTGCGTAAGATGCGTAAGACTCAAGCCATGCAACAGGAACAATGAATGCCAACCAATTTGGATCACCATTTCTGGGTGTCGGGCCAGCTCCCCGTTTGAAGAGGTTCGGTAGCTAACGTGCCTTCCGAAGCTGGGCGGTTAAATCACGTGATCGAGACTAATCAAGACTGGGCTCGCTACGGTGGGATGGCACCAGGGCCCACGATTTACGGCCACGATCCTCTACTTTATTGTCAAACACTGTCCCCTTTAGACTGCCCTTCTCTCCGTAGGTAGTTCACTTTGTGCGAAGCTGGCCTTCAATTTATGACAAACATGAAGTTGCAATTAGATGGGTACGTGGTTCATCAGGCGCTGCTCCTCCACAATTAATTCTGAGAAAGGGTCGCTTTGGTCACTGCCGCTGCAGGTGGAATTGGTAAGAGTCATGCATCAGTCCAAAACATGAGGAAGGGCTCAGGATACCAACTTTGCATCAACAGGTCGAGCCGTCGCCCTTCAGTTCGTCCACGATGGGTGTACGAGTCTGGTGCTTTCTGACCTTAAGGCGGCCGATTTGCATGAAACAGTGGCTATGGCCCTTGCGGTCAACGCAAACGCCTCAGTCAAAGCGTATCCGGGAGATGTGACCTCTGAAGACTTCGTGAAGGATCTGGTAGGCTTTGTTCTTCAAGTCTTCGGCCGCTTGGACTATGTATCAAACGGAGTGGGCACCACTGGTGTCCCAGGTCCTACTCACGAGATGGAAACGGCCAGGTCAGTGAGATCCCTTTGGGTGTGGAATATCTTGACCAGAGTTGATGCTTGGTTGGGATCAGCTATGACCAGGTATTGGATATAAACACAAAGTCGCTCTGGGTGTGTGAGAGGGAAGAGATCAGGTCAATGATGGCACAGGAACCTCTTGACACCAGGCAAGACACCGCATTTGCAATGCTTCTGCAAACGAGCTTCGCCGTGCTGACCACTGTAACCAGTTTCGGCCCAGCTCGAGGAGCAATTGTAAATGTCTCATCAGTCATGGGCATACTGGCCTTACCGGACTGCGCGCCATACATCATATCAAAGCATGGTGAGAACTCAGTCATCACCATTGAGCTTGAGAGAGCCAAATTTTTGCTGATTGACTAATTTGCTTTCATTTTTGAGGTGTTGTTGGATTGACAAAGTCTGATGCTCTCAGTTATGCCGTGTAAGTACTGCTGTACCCAGCCCACCCGTCGGTGGTGGAGGCAATTTTTCATTCTCTCTAAATTTCGAATCCCAGCCGAGGGATACGGATCAATTGTGTGCTTCCGGGATTTGTGGATACGACCTTGTTAACTCCCGAGAAAACTCGAGCATTGAAGGCGTCGATGGTCCCCAAGATACCAATGGGCAGGTTCGCGCGGGCTGAAGAGATAGCCTGCGTTGTCACATTTCTCTGCAGCCCACGAGCGGCGTATATCACAGGGACAACATGGACAGTTGATGGAGGATACTCGATCATATAAAGAATGGCAGTGTGTAACAGATCCATTTGACAATTCACACCGTTCCATATTAGGAGCAGCGACGCGATGTGGTATTTGATGCGAGGTGTCACAGCTTTGGTCTTTCAATCTCTGCATGCTCATAGTCCACCGTGGTAAAAGGATAGTCCGTATATCCTTTCTCAGGACGGTCTGGGGGGTACGAGGAAAAGGTCTATGTTGTCGTCAGCTTGTGGCTGCCCCGTCTGTCTCAGTAACTAAGCTCAAGAGGCAGAAACTCACCACAAAATCATAGTTGAATATACATTCCATCCCGGAAAAGACCTTGTTGGCAAAATCGGGATTCGTGATCCACGGTCGTCCAAAGACAATGACATCCCCAGTGCCGTCCTTTAGCAACTCCTCCGCTTCAGGTACCGAGATGTTCCCGTTGAGGAAGACTTTGGCGTTCTTGATCAGATGTCGATATGTTGCCCACACGGGGTGATTGATGCCTCGCATCTGGCCGTCAATCTCCATATCCATGAATCCTGAAAGGACGAAAGGCAAGTTGGTCAGCGTTCGGTTACAGAAGTGTGTCGACGATCAGCCCTGAAGTCAAACCTACTGAGATAGCGGACGAGCAGAATGTAAGCCAGTGGACGCTTGTCGAGTTCGGTGATCAAGTACTCGTATTGAGCGATCTGTTCTTCCCTGGCCATTCCCACATCGCCGAGGCCCCCTCCGGGCGAGAGCTTGATACCCACGCGGCCGGGCCCCCAAATGTCGATCATGGAGTCTATGACTTCCAAGGGAAATCGGGTGCGCTGAGGGAATGATCAACAAGTCAGACGATGATTGAGTGATTGTGCTTGACTTACATTCTCAACAGATCCACCATAGAGATCAGTTCGCTGGTTAGCAGTTGCGCATAGGAACTGGGAGAAGAATGAGTTCATCAACGAAACGCATGGACAGACAGCAGGTCATTCCAGACTGACCTGCGACACGAGATAACCATTCGCAGCGTGGAGTTCGACTCCGTCGAAACCAGCTTCTTTGGCCCATTGAGCGCTTCGACGATGCTGTTCCACCACCGCATGGACATCCTTGATGGCCTCTGGGACGGAATATCCTCCTTCTTTGGAAGAAACGACGTCTTCAAAGACGGTAAACTTCGCACCGTGTTTAAAACCGTTCCGGGCGCGAATGGCACTGGGTGCTTGAGGGGATGTGCCGGCTTTCTTCTGCATTTTGGCATGCTCGTTCGTCAAGCGCCCGGCTACGTCAACGTGTCAGCCTATATCCTGATCTATCCAGCAGGTGTGTCGACGACATCAGCTTACCGTGCCATATTTGGCAGAAGAAGATAGAGCCAGGGACGGTGTGGACCTTGTCGACAATCTTCTTCCAGGCTAGCATATGCTCCCGAGAGTCCAGCTGGGGCGCATTGGGCATGGGTGTCCCTTGTGGACAGACCAGAGCACCCTCGGAAGTGAGAAATCCACACCCGCCCAGGGCCCGTTGATAGTAATACTCTTGATTCAAATTTCCTGGGTACGAACTGGGAGACCTAGAGAGACAGTTGACTATCTCAGCGTTTCCCTCAGACAAATAAATGGATTGATGCCATTGCGAACGTACCGGTTGCGAGACATAGCAGACATGCCAATCCTGTTCTTCAGCTTCAGCTGGCCGACCTGCACGGGCTGGTTGAGCATTTCGACTGCCGAGAAGAGACAATCCATGGTAGCAAACAGTCCACGTTCTGCTCAGGAGCAGGCTTTACTTAAACTGCTTGGGCATATTGTGCAGATCTGGCACTATATGTTCTCTGTCTCCAGACAACGGCATAGCAGGCTCATCCCATTTCTGGCGCCCTCGGTCTGGACTACCTGAGCCGCCTTGAGTTGCAGAGTCTTGCAGATACCCACTCGAGATGACGGTGGGGTCTTACGGTGGGATTGATTTTAACTTGCGGTGGGAGCACGCCTGAGATGCCGGTCCCTGCCCATTATGTCATACTTCCGTCAAACCACTTTTGAGCAGGAAGCCATGTTTTTAACAATTATTACGCATGGACCCTGTCGCGGAAACTGCAGTGGAGAGGAATCACAGTCCACGCCAGCAGAGGAGACACCTAGCCTCTTCCCCAGGTTTGTATGTTCCCCCTCCTCGTCTTGCCCCGATTTTCTCGAGTAACCCTGTAAATTGCTCCCGATTCCATTGTGCCGCCGTCCCCAAGCGCAATAAAAGAGTTAGAGGGCCATTGTGCGAGCTTGCTCTCATTACTGTACCAACTTGCAACGCCTTGCTGTCAGCAATCACGAAATTCCATGACCTGTAGCTTCACAGCCGCACCATCTGGACGCTGAGGCTGATGCAATCGCTTGTGTTGGAGAACAAAATGCCTGTCCAGCTGACAGACCCAATACCACCATTCAATTGCGCATTGTGTAGTCGTACCTTCAAGAGACAAGTCCATCTTGCCCGTCACCTCCTCTCGCACAGCAATGCCAAACACAGATGCCACACCTGCGGAATGTACTTTCATCGCGCCGACGTGCTAGCAAGACATACATCGACTCACGACCTGGACAATCTGGTCCGTCGTCGCAGACGCAGGAGAGGGCCAATCCCTCCCAATCTACCTGCAGCACCTGGGACGATGGTACAGACTCCAGACCTAGAAAGTGGCAGCGATTGGCTCGATGAAGCTGCAGATAGCCTCCTCGAGGGGACGGCCATCAACTCCCATATTGTTCCACAGAACGCATATGTGCCCTGTATTCCGGGTATACAGAAGGAGGATTTCCCGTCGTCCCCTTGGACAGGAGATCTCTCTCTGTACAACTGGACCTTTGAAGACACCACGTTCGATTTCTTGTTGCCAGAGCCATCACCATGTTCTTTGGACCAGCCTAGCTCGGATCCATCGCCTCAGCTTGAGCTCTGCAGCATTACTGGGATCGAGGTGAAACATGAGCCCGGTCATCCTCGATGGGTTTATAAACTAACCATACTTTGGTCTCCAGGAGCTCGATCCCCCGCGGAGACTGATCTTCTATCAACATTTCACACAATACTTCCTCCCTTACATGCCGACTCTACATGAAAGCACCATTCAGCGGAGAAAGGAGCCACCAATCGTGCTCAGCATTCTCGCGATTGGGGCGTGCTTTGCCAGAGACGAGGTTATGGCCGATCGGCTCCTTGAAAAGGCAAAGAGCGCCCTAGAAGAAGACCAAATGAGCCCTGCCACACGACTGCAAGTCCTTCTACATCTATCTTCCTTTTCTCTCTGGAATGGGTCCGAAGGAGACCACGAGTGGGCGCTCTCCAAGGCTCAGGAATTGTCAAGGGTAATTCTATACTGATCAACCATCTTAACATCGAGGCGCGAAGGGCACAAGAGCTGACCGGAAGCAGATTTTGCAAGTGGTCCTTCGTAAGGAGACCCTTTGTGGACAAGCGCCAACATGGCAAGAATGGATGAGGCGCGAGGAATGCCTCCGGTAATGGCTGCATATAGAGCTCTTGATTCCGATCCTGTACTGACTTAGTGACTCCGTTCCTCTCCAGCGCGATCATCTCCACGTTCACCTTCTTCTGCCAACTGGACTATTTTTTCCACGTATCCACTTCTCTGTGGGTTTCTGACATGGACATCCCGCTCCCGGCACCAGAAAAGCTCTGGCGGATCGACAGCGAAGCAGCCTGGGACCTGCTCAGTCCCATACCTGAACCGCCATATTTCCTGCATTGCTTCTACGCACTGATCAATGTCGACTCGGCGCTGGCGGAGACGCGAGACCAAATCTCCTACATTGGACGGAATTGTCTTATTCACGCTGTGCTGTCCTACATCCAGCGGACAAAGCAAGATCCCCAAGCTTTTGCTGACAGAGATGCCTTTTGTCGCCGGTCTGCTCTGTCCGAGGGGAAAAAGGCACACTTGAACATGGTCCTGAACCTGTTCAAAGATGTCCTCGTGGTGAATCTTGAGGGTGCTATACCAAGCCACAATCGTCAGCTCTGTCTCATGTTTGACACCGTCAACATCGTCCAAATAGCCGGGATCGAGATCCATACGGGCAAATTTGGCGATTTCAAGGCCATGTCTCCGGCAGCTGCGCGACAAGCCTCTGTCTGGTCCTTGGAGGCCTTCATCATGCTGTCCAAACTGGATATGCATACCGTGAGACCTCCCGTGGGATATCTTAAATTGATGAGCTATCTAGACTAACCTTGGAACGAGGTGTTGCATGCGGGGCGGTACGAATGGAGCGCGCTGGCGTCATTTGCGCTTTTGCAATTCAGTAAGTCAGGAGACAGTATCCCCAGCCCGATCCAGCCCCCTCTGCCCATGTCTTGACACTTCATCTTCAACGCACCATGGCTTCGGTATTGAACACGTCTGCTTGCCACAGGTTTTGCCCTCCATCAATGGGCCACCACCATTAAGACCCCACGAGGCGATGTCCGCTCGGCAGAAGATCAATCCCTTCTGAATCGCCTCAAGGTCGCTCTGGTTCGGATCAACCAGTCTGTGGGACGGGACGAGGAGCTGTGCACGCAGGCTCTCAAGGTTTGGACCATGACAGTGGGGAGGGTTGCCAATTTTCATCGGTCAAGGATTGTCATTGCGAAGCTCAGGGAGCTCGTCAAGGAGGAGCAGAGCGCGCAGAGGACGGAGACGGCTGAAGCGCCTCGATGAATCCCTCGTGGGCTTTGCCCATCAAGCTAAAATTGCAGTACGTAGATCTCATTTAACTTGGCGAGGCTGTCTGTTTACGAAGTCCGCAGTCTCGCCAGCACGCTTTTGATTGATTTTCATACGCCCAGGCGGGGCTAAGCCCAATGGGGACTAGCTAGTTCTACATGGCTACACGCGAACGTCCCGGTTCATGGTACTTCCTGCTGT